TGACTGATGATGCCGACTACGATGCCGGCGAAACGTTTGAGAATGTACCAAGTTCACTGTCTGATGCTGGAAATCATGACAACTAATATGGCAGACGACTTCGGACTAGGTGCGTTCTACTAAGTCGCCCTGAAAACAGGACCAAGTTGCGACAACGAGGTCAATCCATTTCTAGAATATTTGTTTTTCCATTATAAAAATAGTATAAATCATTGTTTTTCTATTCTAACTACCTTTAGTTAGGCTAATTGAATGCTTAATAGTGAAATTAATAATCTAAGCCGAAGATATAAAGACCTTTTGTGTGGTCGCAGTCTCATTTCGTTGTTTTAAGAAGTTGTCTGACCTTGTTTACGCAACTTGCTCATATTGGTGGGAAGAATTAGAGGAACGAACCTAGTCCGGAGTCAATTGTATGCATCATCATTTTCAGAGTAGGACCGTGGACGTGGTACATTCCCACGTGGTACGGTACGACTTTGGAAATGATCATGCCTACAATCGACTCGAGACTAGGTGTGTTCCTCTAAATCTTTCCACCAATATGACCAAGTTGCGAAAACAAAGTCAAACAACCTCCAAATAATCTAAAGTTCGAATAAAGTATTCATATCAACTGCCATTAAATCTCGTATAAAAGTTCCAGTCATCCTAAGTCGTATTACGTAGTAAAGGATTAATAAATTGACTTTCATACAATCATATGAACAGACCTTACATTTTCACTGAATTTCACGTTGTTTTACTCCCGAAAAGGTGGCAAGGAGGGAAAGAAACAAGCAAGGCAATGTGAAATTCACTCGGAATATGAGGTTTACTCATATACAGCTCCCCTAATTTAGTATGGCTATTCCAAACGTTGACCTTTCTGTTTCATATTATACATCTCATATTACTGATTTACTGGTAGTCTCGAAATTCCACTCTAGTAGGAAAATAAGTAACATAGTCGATTGCCATAGCAAATATACGTTTGCTTCATTGTCATTCCAAACCAAAGAATATGATATAGCAAAGAGGCCTGACCTTCCTTGAAATTCACATCCGCCCCGTGACTAAAGGGCACTCGTGGCAATGTGTTGAGTGGTTAACGTGTCAAGTCCACATGCTGCATTGTCACGGTTCGACTCCCGCCGGTGGTGTTGATAAGACCGATGCGAGGTCGAAATTGCAGTCCACTGGTGCCTGGATGAGAACAACTTTTGGCAAAGCAAGCCAATGTGAAATTCATTGGAAATATCAGTTCTGCTCATATCATTGCGGGAAAATTCTACTACCAGTCCTTCATCAGTTTAGACGAAATAGGGTGAATGCATATCATACTACTGATTTACTGGTAGTCTCGAAACTCTACTCTAATACGAAAATATTATGACCAATTTGTATTTCTCACTTAGCCAGTCAAATGTGTCCATGTTGCCAACGCCTCTATCATACTCATCCTGTCCCTCCATCCGTTATTACCGCTGATCAATCAGACACGACGATGGGGCGACTCCGCTGCAGCTTCCCTTCTCGGAGCCGCACAACTCAGACTTGTCTGAGGCTGCACGTCAGCAAATGCTTAGCTTACGCTCCGTCCACCGACGCAACGAACTGTTGGCCACTGTCAGTCGTCTGGTGCGCTGCTTCGATGCTGAACTGCGAGTGCTCAGAAACAACCGGTTCTACATTGACACCATCTTGAAGCGAGCCGAACTCTCGCAACTCACCTCGTTCGACGAGTATCGGCTCCTGAAGGAGTTCGAGAAATCGGAGCTGGTGCTGACGGAACGGGCTCGTTCTAAGGCCCAGGAAAAGCAGGATCTCGCGACAAAGGCAAATATTCCATTTGTGACCAAATGAGTGTAGCTATTATCAGAATGGATTGACTATCAATGG